AAACACGATTGTTTTGGGGACAGGCAGAACTTTAATGACATCTACCTTGAGTCTGTGTCGGTCCACTCATTTCTGAAACGTCCAAATTACATGGCCACACCAATGGACGGTGCCTGAGAGTAATCCTCGAGATCTGATCCATCCTGCCAACAGCATTTGAGTCTGGGTGCGCGAGGCACGAACCAAGCCATCACATAAGGTCTCAGGTCTCTCTTGTAAATGAGTCCCCGAGGCTCAGTGGGATTAACCTGTAGAAATAAAGGTTGAATGAAAAAGGCAGGCAGCCTGACCAGGGCCAAATTTGCTGCCGATGACTTCCTTGTTTGTTGATAAACCAGGAACCAACTGAATCCAAAAAGCAAGAAACCAGTTATAAATCCAATTAAATATGCGTCCTTAAAATCCACGATTGACAGCCGAGATAGACACGTCATCAAGTCTTCCAAGTCGATGAGATATCCAGCTGTGTGCGTGCCAACAGGGCAAATCGTCTCACCTAAAGCCTGTCTTCTCTTCAAAGAAATGTTATCTATTACGCTGAGGGACCAACTGATCAAATCCAAATCCATAGCATAATTAATATTTGTAGAAGAGAAGCTCTAAACAGTTTCACAGACAGGGCAGAGCAAATCAGAGCCGAGAGGGAGAGGAGGAGAATGCGTGCGCCCTTGACAAGAGCAAGTGTTGAATGTAAATGAAACTCATGAACTAAACTAATGAATTGTAACAGATGTTTGAAGCCACTTAGAGAGGTCAAGGTCGAGAGCTTCAGATGTTTTTACAAGATGTTCCAGGAAACGGGAGCGGAGTAGGAGAAGGTCCTTTTGTCTAGTTCAGTCCTCACTGAGGGAACACTGCAGGTAATGATGTCCTGAGAGCGCACGCTGTAGCTGCACTCACACAGAGACATGTAGGAGGAGATGTGTGAAGGCAGCAGACCAAGATTTTGTTGTGCTTCTGTGCAATGACAATAAAGCTGATTCTGACTGCTCCAGATCAGCAGCACAGGTGTGCCAAATAGTCATCAGCATGGAAGGAGAAAAAAGCACAGGAGAGCTTCCTGTATAGGGCAGTCCTGAGTCCCGAGTGCATTCTGCAGTCCTCCAGACATGCAACATGCTATAAAAACTAACTTTAGTTACAGTAATAACGCAGTCAGGGTAAAGCTGCAGCAGCAGTTTAACAAACTCTCTTTGCTTGAGCTCATTTCACTCACCACAGTGTCTCTGTTGCTCTGTGCTCATGTTAGCACCGATTGTTGTGCATCCAAACTGATGACCTGCGCTAACTTTCTTGGTCCGTATCTGTTCTTTCAGCTCCTTCTGTTTAGCGTCATCACTGCAGCTCCTTGTCACAAATTCAGCTCACTTGTTTGCATTTCACACTTGTCATGATTGACACCTGTCACTCACATGATCTTGAGCTGATGCTTGACCACTCATGTTGCATAAACTGACCCTGATCCTTGCTATGTACAGGTATATACATTTTTATGTAATGCTATTTTACACAACATATAATATATATTTTGTTATTTTAAAAGTCAAATTTTGCTTTTGAGATTTATTGTATTAATGCAGTTCTTACTACCGGTCATTCATTGTTCTCCATCACACTGCAAATAATCTTGATGCAGGATATTAATCGTAGTTAAGGTACATTGAACATTTTCTGAAGACCAGTTTTGTGGGGAGAAAGATGAAAATAGTCACTCTCTTCAAAAGAGAATAAAGCAGTGCAGTATTTTTGCTTTTGTGGTTTCTCTTACAGTTTATATTTCTAAAACAGGATGTAATTGCAACATTTTGTGTTAGATGTAAAGCAGTTCACTCATAAGATGTATTATTCTGTACAAACCCATTTCTTACCAATAAAGGTTAAAAAAGCTGCTACGCTTCTGTGCATATCAAGAATTTACAGCCGTGCCTCTTTTTCTTTAGGGATGTGTCATCTGTGGAGTTGCTTCAGAAGTACCACCAGGGGATACGCTCGGAGATTGAAACCCGGGCAGCAAAGTTCACACACTGCATAGACCTCGGCAAGTCTATGCTGAGCCGCAAGCATCGAGACTCTGCTGAGGTACGATACGAGTACAAAGCATCTTTTTATCCAGAGCTAGGCCTTCTCTTGTTTCAATATTGTCTATATTTTTGATTTACTTCATTTTGTATTTTGCTTTGTGTGTTACCTGTTGTTCTGTCTGCAGCACTTTGGTTGGCCTTGTAGCTGTTTTGAGTGCTCTATAAATAAAATGGTATGGTATGGTAATAGAGTCGATACTTTTCAAGTTCAAGTATCTTTGTTCATTCACATCATTAATAATATAAAATAATATGGTGTGTTAAGCAGCAGCCCCAACATGAGTATATAGTGAGCAGATGGGTATGAATACAGCAGCATGGATAATCAGCAGCATGAGATGATCAGCAGCATTCATTCATTCAACCTTTATTTAAACAGATAAATCACACTGAGCCTAAAAGACTCATTTACAAGTGAGACCTGTTTGGACAGACAATAAAAGTGGTTAACTGGACACATGGAGGAGTTGGTGAAAAATATTCCTATCAGACTTTTTTTTTCTTCTTGCCTGACAAAAAACCCTCTAATATTAAAAAGCACCTCGCACAAACAAGCACATAGTGACGTAGACATTCTGCAGACGGAGACGAGAGCGGTCAGCAATGATCGTAGATGCTCTCGAGGTCACTGTAAGAGTTCTGATAGGATGTAATAATCAGTCAGTGTCCTCTGGTGAGATCCATAAACATTCTCGAGGGATGTCGAGGAATGGCCAAGAATAACATCTATGAGAATCCAGAGTCCTGAAATGATGACACAAAGTTTATTCAGCTGGTTTCATCTGGTTATCAGTTGGAAATTCCTCAGGGAGTGGGTGGTGAGCGTCAGATCACATGTTCTCCAGGTGAATTCATATAAGATGGCCTTCAAGGCCAGCCATGGGAGCCAAATTCAGATAAACACACAGTTGTTTTGGGGACAGGCAGAACTTAATGACATCAACCTTCAGTCTGTGTCAGTCTAATCGGTTCCGAAATGTCCAAAATACATGGCCACACCGATGGAACGTGACTGAGTAAAATCTCCAAGATCTGATCCATTCAGCCCAAAGCATTTGAGTCTGGGTACTCGAGGCACGAACCAAGCCATCATAAAGGCAAGCAGCGTGATCGAGTCCAAATTTGCTGCTGACGACTTCCTTGATTGTAGATAAAACCAGGACCAGCTAAATCCAAAAAGCAGGAACCAGTTATCGTGAATCCAATTAAATATGCGTCCTTAAAATCCACAGATGGCAGCAGAGATAGACACATCATCGAGTCTTCCAGTCGATGAGATATCCAGCTGCGTGCGTGACAACTTGGCAAATCAAATAGCGTGAGATAATCAGCAGCACAAATAATTCACATGTCACCAATTAAAGTGTCATCACAGTGATTCTCCTGGTTAGAGATTCATGAGTCTAACAGCCTCAGGGTAGAAGCTGTTCCTCAGTCTAGTGGTTCTACACTTAATGCTCCTCAACCTCCTTCCTGAGGGGAGTGGGGCAAAAAGTGTGTGTGCTGGGTGAGTGTGGTCCTTCATGATGCAGGTTGCCCTCTTCCTGCATCTGGAGGTGTAGATGTCTGTGATGGTGGGGAGACTGACTCCAACATCTTCTGTGCAGCCTTCACCACTCTCTGCAAAGCTTTTCTTTCTGCAGCTGTGCAGCCTCCATGCCACACGTTGATGCTGGAGCACAGGATGCTCTCCACTGCACACCTGTAGAAGGAGGTGAGGACTGAGCTTCCAGACCAGCTCGCCTCAGCCGTCTGAGGAAGTAGAGTCTCTGATGAGCTTTCTTCATCAGGCTGGTGGTGTTGTTGCTCCAGTACTTGTAGCTGGAGACTATTTCCACCACAGATCCTCCCATATGGTGGTGGTGGTGGTGGGGGGTGGGGGGGTGGGGGGGTAGGTGTGTTTGTTCTTTCTGAAGTCCACGGCCATCTCCTTTGAACTTCCTCACTGTAGGGTTCTAAGGACTAGCTTTTAGCTGCCCTTGACTACAATATATTTAAATAACGGGTTCTCTCTTTTTCGATCTAAATTGCAGCCATGTGACCGAGGTAACTGTGCATAGATTGTTAATCAGTGACACTGAGACGTTACTTTTCTTTGACCCATCAGAATAAATGCAGTCATTTATTTAACAGAATCAAAATTTAACATCAAAATGTACAAGTGATTAGCTGATCTGGTTCTGATTAATAAAACTTGGCACGTTTTACTTAATAAGACATTTCTGAAGGCATCTAGATTAATTACTGGCAAAATAGAAGAGATTAAAGATTGGAAATGAAGGAGTTTAAAGAGGAGGATTTAGATGGATGAAGGAAAGGGTGTGTCTGTTCGGACCGCAGAATGGCACCCTTCATCCGACCCCAGCTCAGCCCCGGTACACTAGGTGCATGGCGACTCGTACCTTAGACGGGGATACCTCCGCTCAGGAACAGGAGTCCATTTCAACGCTACCTTTCAGCGTCTCCGGGAAGGATGGATGAGAATCGTCCGAAGTAGTGAACGGTACTCCGTTCAACGGTCAAATCCATCAGCTATGGATTAAATTTTCATTTCCACAGACGCAGGTGATTCTGTGCTGTTGGTCCTATTGGACCTTACATCTGCTTTTGACACCATCGACCACAAAATCCTCATTTCTAGACTGGAGCAGTGGGTGGGCATCACAGGGTCAGCCCTTAAATGGTTTGGGTCCTACTTCTCTGACAGAACCTTCTGTGTCAATATCAAAGATTCTAGTTCGGCATCGACAGCGCTCCAGTGGGGGGTACCGCAGGGGTCCATCCTCGGTCCCCTTCTTTTTTCTTTATACCTGCTGCCACTAGGTGCTATCTTCCGCAAACACGACATACCCTTTCATTTCTACGCCGATGATTGCCAAATTTACTTCCCCCAGAGGCACAGAGGCACACGCTCTATTCAGCCTCTTCTTGACTGCCTAGCTGACATCCGGGACTGGATGGCTTTAAACTTCTTAAGCTTCAATGAGAAGAAGTCTGAAGTCATGCTGTTCCATCCCAGTGGCTCACTCATGAACCATGACATTGACCTTTTCTCTCTAGCCTCGCTAGAGAAACAAAAGGTCACTAATCTGGGGGTGATAATGGACCCGTCCTTAAAACTCAACAGTCACGTAAACATGATGGTCAAATCCTGTTTTTTTCAGCTGAGACGGCTGTCTAAGCTGAAGCCTATACTCTCCAAAAAGAACCTCGAGACAGTGATCCACGCCTTCATAACATCTAGGCTTGATTACTGCAATTCACTTCTGTTTGGAATCAGTCAGTCCTCCATTGCTCGTCTACAACTGGTCCAAAATGCTGCAGCCCGATTTTTAACTGGTACAGGCTATAGAGAGCACATCACGCCTGTTTTGGCCTCCCTGCACTGGCTACCCATTCACCTTCGGATCCAATTCAAAATTCTCATGTATGTTTTTAAATCACTGAACAGTTCCGCCCCATCCTATCTCACTGATCTTCTGCAGCCATATGTCCCACCGCGCTCTCTGAGGTCAGCAGACCAGATGCTTCTCTCAGTCCCAGAAACCCGTCGTAAGCTCAGGGGTGACGGGGCTTTCTCTGTTGCAGGTCCACGACTGTGGAATGAGTTGCCACTGAGTGTCCGGCAGGCTCCCACACTCTCAGTCTTTAAGTCTCGCTTGAAGACCCACTTCTATTCTCTTGCCTTTAACACGGTGTGATTTGTTTTGGTCCGGTCTGTTCTCTACTCTGTTGGCCATTTTAGTTAGCTTCTGCTGCTATTTGTATCTGTATTTCTATTTTATGTTTTCCTGTCTGCTGTGCTTGTTTGTGTTCTTTTGTACAGCACTTTGGTTGGCCTTGTTGCTGTTTTAAGTGCTATATAAATAAATTGGTATGGTATGGTATGGTAAATCTGACAGTTCCTTAAGAACCCTCAGGAAGACTTCAGTCAGAGATTCCACTCAGACGTGGAGGACTCCATGAAAGACTGAAGAAGACTCTGGTCCAGGACTCCAGAAGACTGAAGACCGACTCAAGACTGACAGACCCAGTTGACCTCAGAAGTTCCAGGAAGTGTGGACTCTTAAAGAGTTCTCGCTTCCGGTCACTTCAGGACTTCCTGATTGGTTGAAGCAACCAACAGGGGTGTGGTTCTAGTGATGTCAGAGGGTCATTACAAGTCAAGAAAACAGCAGGAATGTTTTGGAAACGTCCCGTACAGACAGAAGAATGTTATGGTGAAGTGAGAGGAAGAGAGGCCAGTAGCTTCTTGTTTACCGTCTGCTAGGTTTAAAAACACAACACTTCGTTCTAATAACTTCTTTCTGACTTTTGACCGACATCACTACTTCTCATTTAGACAGAAGATCAAAAATGCATAATTACTTTGTAAATAGACATTTAACTTGATTTCTAATTTAAATGAGGATTAAAAAATCATTAATACTGTTTCACACTTGATTTAAATGAGTGGTTCACTTCAACATTTAGAAATGGTATGAACTAAACACACTTTTGATTATCAAGATATTGTAAAATAGTAATGATAATATAAAAAAGAGAGTGTTCTTTCAATTGATTACTTCAGGATACAATTAGAAAGTCTCTGGATGAACTCATTTGTATTTCTGGATTCAAATCAATGAAATAACAGTTCCTGTCCCATGAAGGTCCTCAAAGGCAGGTTTTGGTCGGAGGCTTAGTTCACTACATCACATTGATGTGAAGGTTATTCTTCTTGCACCAGCTCTGCAGGTGTTCCACCTCCTGCCTGTAGTTGGTCTCATCATTGTCTGTGATACATCCCACCACGGCTGTACCATCTGCAAACTTTACAATATCAGCTTTATTATCATTGCACAGTGAAGTACAATGAAATTACGTTCCTTACAGCCGTCCTAGAGATGGACGGAAGTGTACAGGGGCTGCAACTTCTAAGAAGCGCTGCACTCATTGCGTATATATAAAAGGGGAAGAAAACATGAGGAGAGAGAGGTATTAAACAAAAGATCTCTC